TCAGAAAAGAGAAAGTATTATTGAGAGCTGGCATGGTTAGGGAAGGCTCTAAAATTGACCAGAAACTTTGAGAATGGTTTTAGTTTAGCTTGGTGGAGGGGAAGGATAGTACATCTCAGTGGTTTAAAGATTATGAAGGAGGGAATAACTTCCAAGAAGAACAATGTAGCTGAATAGAGAGTTATGCAGGGTAGGTAGAGTGGGGCCTGATAATAACAGGCCTTCAAAGGCATGAAAGGAGTTTGGATAGGATGAGTTTGGCACACAGGGTGAGAGTGTTCAGGAATGTCAGCCAGGTGGCTACTGTGGCAATCCGGATCTGAGCTGCTGCGGGATCCAACTGGGGTGAGGCAGGTGGGAATGGGACAGGAGGAACTGATATTTGGAAGGCAATATTATTAGGCCTTCATTATCAAGAGGAGGGAAATAAAGGGCAGGTTCAAAAATAACTCTCAGGCATCTCCTGTGTTCACTGATGTTTATGCTTAGCCAGTTTTTCCTCCCTCCTCCTTTTTCTTTGAACTGTCTTCCATCAACTACATGTAAAACTATGCAGAGTAAAATAAGATCAAATATTTCTGGTAAACTCTTTTTGGGCCAGTTTATAGTTGTTTTATCTCAATGGGAAAAGAATCTTGAGAATCAAGAATCTTCATTATTATTTTTAGTCTGCCTTCTTTGAACATTGAGTATGCACTTTTTTCTTTTCTTTCTTTGTTTCTTTCTTTTGATATTTAGGTATCCTTAGTCTGTATTTCCTTAGTCTACAACAGAATTGTGTCTGCTTTTGTCAGTTACATGTTCACCTGAAAACCTCTTCAGTTTCATCGTGTTCTTCTGCAAACACTAATAAAAATAACCTGAAGTTAATATTCCACCTTACATTCAGAAAGATCCCACTATTCTTTACAATGTGTACTGATATTACTTTATGTAGACACAGTGCACTTCCTTAGTGCCTTTCATCTGAGGATCATACAGCACACAGCAAACATTAACTAATTCTAACAGCAACCTTGTGAACTGTAATTTTTATGTGTGTATAGTAGATGAATCACCTGAAGGATCAGCAGGACACAGGCTTTGTGGGGAAGACCAGGCCTGGCACAACTTAATGTATACACAACCCAGTCAAATCGTTCAGAGCAAGAAAGGCAACATCATTTTTTATTTAACTAAAACCACTAATGGAGTTTCAGTGAGAGACTAATTATCCAGGTAACAACTTGTCTAGGTTTCCACAAGCAACACTTGGGCTTTTGCAACAAACAGTGCCAAAAAAAAAAAAAAAAGGGAGTTTTAGAGTCTATTAATAGCTACACCCTCAGTGTTACTGTCCCTCCGGGGACCAGTGCTCAGCAACAAAGCAGCCCTACTCATTAACTGAAGCTTTGATTTAGTATCAAGGCAGAGAAAGTGTGCCACAGGCTGACTCATCAACACAGTTTCCTACTGAGATTTCCCTCGAGGGTCTCTCCTTCAGGTGTGTAGCAGACCAAGGCCTATTTCGCTGAAGAGGATGAAAGCTTCATATTGTTATGTGGGCTGCTCTTTATATTAAAAATAAAAATAGAATCTATAATGGAAAAACTTGCAAAGAAAATGGACTCTTGCCTTTCTAAGTTGACTCACTCAACAATCAAGGCTAGATACCAACAAATGCTTTCCATTTGGGGGAGCCCACCTTTATTTTAGCTTTTTAGTACAGAAAATTTCAAATACAAACAAAAGTAGATAGAATGTTATAATCAAGACTCTAGGTACCCATCACTTAACTAGCAATTTTCACTCACTTTGTTTTACCAACTATAGTCAAAGGATCTACTAAAGCTCAATTCAAAAGACATGTCACTAACGTTGGAAGGGGAAGGTGGTAAACATTCTGATTTGGTGGGAGGGTGGGAAAAGAAACCCATAAGAATTGTTAAAGTTTAACACCAAAGTTAAGGCAAGGGAATTAGTCAAGTCTACCTGGCATTTGCTCCATTTGAAAGAACCCTAGATTTCGTAACATAACCAAATGAATAAATATATCATTTGTTCAGCAATACAATAATTAGCCATAATTGCATAATAAAGCATAATTTAACCTTCCTGCGGACATAATGCTAAGTTAAATCAGAAGCCATGCAAAATAAGTCACCGTCAATGCATGCTCTAAATCCATTATAAGCTCATGCCATTCAAGGGCAGTGCATTGAACCTTGAATTTTACTGGCTCAGTCATCCTTACCTTTTGTAGCAAATTGATTGTCAAGGGGCCAAAAGAGCAAGTGGGAGTTTGTTTGGCATATTTTTTGTAATTAAGGGCCAGTGATCATTTTGTGTTCAGCTTCTATTGTTCAGTACTTTCCTTTAAAAAATATTTTATGAGAAAATTGTTTTATTTTAAACTTTTTAATCAATTTTACTTCATTAAAATTTTAATCAAAGTATTTATGTACATAATTTTTAAAAAATCAAATTGCACCAAATAAGTTATAAAGACAAACAGTAGTTTCTTGCCCCACCCCTTCATATTACCTCCTAATGATTGCCGCAGAAACTATTCCTTTTTATTTTTGGCCCTGCCACTTGGCTTGTGAAATCTTAGTTCAGGGATTGAACCCTGGCCCTCATCAGTGAAAGCATGGAGTCTTAACTACTGGACCACCAGGGAATTCCCAGATGTTATTACTTAAAAAAAAAAAAATCATATTAACTGTTTCTTTGTGTGTGTATAAACATATCTCTATATTCCTAGATGTGGAAGCCTCTGTCTTGTTTCAATCTGTATTGATTGCTCTCTGGGCCTGCTTCTTCCATGTTGCATTGCAATGTTTCCCAGATTCCATGTCTTTCTCTGTCTTGATCTATATCTCTCTTTTGTTGGAGTGCATCTTTAATAAAATCCAGAGAAGGATGGACAGAAAATAAATTTTCTGAAACCCGCTCCCAAAAAAACCCCCCAAAACAACAACAACAAAAAAAGCTTGGGAATTCCCTGATGGCCCAGTGGTTAGGGCTCTGCGCTTTCACCGCAGGGTGCAAGGGTGATCCCTGGTTGGGGAACTAAGATCCTGCTGTGCAGGCAAAAAAAAAAAAAAATTCTGTGTCCTTGAAGCAATGAAAATATCTTATGGCTTGAATGGTACTTTTTCCTCAGAATTCTGAAAGCATTGCTTCATTATCTTCTAGCATTCTTATTGATAACAGAATTCCGAAGCCATTCTCTTTCTTGCTCCTTTGCATATGACCTGTTTTTCCTCTCTGGAAGCTTTTAGAATCTTTATCTCTGGTATTAAAAAATTTCACAATGTCAGACTTTTGTGTGAGTGTTTCTTCAGCCACTGCTCAGAGTATCTGGGCTTTTTCAATTCATAGACTCCTGTCATTTGGGTCTGGGGAATTTTCTAGTATTATTTCTTTGATAATTTACTCATCTCTATTTTCTCTTTTTGCAGAAATTTTATACTTGGTTTTTGGCCTTGCTGGATTCATCCTCTATATCTCTTTTATTTTCTCTTTTCTATCCTTCTCTGCTTTCTGGGAGATTAATTAACTTTCTCTTCCAACCCTTCTAATCACATTGTTATTTTGGCTATTATGTTTTTAATTTCTAAGATAGCTTTTACATTTCCTGTTTATTTTTTATAGAAGTCCATTTGGGTTTTTTAATTGGTTGTCATATAATCTCTTACTTCCTTGAAGGTTTTAGAGTTTTAAAAAGAGTTTTATTCTTCTTATGTTGGCTCTGTCGTCTCTGGGCCCCTTTGTTCTATTTACTTAGTTTAGGATGATTAGGCAGGAGCCAGCCGTTTCACTGGAGGGTTAGAGAATGTATTTTTTTTCTGGAGCTATTCAGTTTCTGCTCTGCAGAATCACTTAGCTGCTACTTCATCTGATTTCAGTTTTCAAAAACTGTTGACGTCTTTTATCTGCTGCTGTTTCTTCTCTCATTGTCTTAATTTTAGGGAGTTCTTAGGCAGGAGAAGAGAAATTCATATGATCCATCTGTCATCTTCAACTAGAATCTATTGGAGAAGTGTAAAAGCTCTCAGAAATACAACTTTTGGATTACTCTTGCTGGTTGTCATTAACGGAGGTAGCAAGATTTATAGAAGCAGTCTTTAAATCTCACTGTTAAGCTTTCTGTCTGAACCTATTAGCTTAGCTGAGCAGAGCATGGTAAAATAATGCCAAGGTCATGAGTTTGATCTCCATGAAGGTCAATAGCCTTACTTAATTTTGAGGGCTCCATCTTCTCCCTCAACTCACAGAGAAAGTCAAGAATGTTGTTTTATGGGAAAGAAATCCAAAAAAGAGGGGAATACATGTACACATATAGCTGATTCACTTTGCTGTACAGTAGAAACTAACACAACATTGTAAAGCAACTATACTCCAATAAAAGTTAATTTAAAAAAAAAAAAGAATGTTGTTTTGGGTAGCTATAAAATAGGTAAGAAATAATACAGCTTTCATTTTACTGCTGTTGTTAAGATTCTAAGTCCTATGCTGCTACAAGAACTTAAAGGGAACAAAAGTTTTCTGCTGGTGGAAAATCAAATATGCCTTAGATTGTCTCCCCAGAAGCAGACTCTTAGAGGGTGATTTGTGGAGAAAGTTTTATTGAGAAGTAATCTAGGAACAACACCTGTAAAGAGTGAGGGCAATGGGAAAAATTGATCTTTGATGCAGTCACAACAGAGGCCTCAGCTGATCCCACAAGAAGTTTTGGATCTGGGAGTCCCTTTAGAGATGTTCTACCTTGAGACAAGAGATCAGACATTTATAACCTCACGTTGACCAGTTGTTGGATGAGAACTATCATTAGGAAAGAAGCATAAACTCCTGGGGAAGAGGCTCTTATTAGCTGATGGCAATTTCCAGAGTGTTTTGAAGTTTTGGTCACCAGTCAGTTGGGGTAGCAGACCATAATATCGCCTATACTATATAAAGTACTGACCTCTTGAAAGTTTAAGAGCTAAAATATTTGTTCTTCCTTTCACTTCTCCTAGATTCTCATGGGGAGAAGAAAATGAGTGGTTAAATGGCAGAAGTGCAACTATATTTGGAGTGAGAAGTAACAAAGGATCTGTTCAGTCCGTAAACCAGATAATTAGCCTCCAAGAAACAAAATGAATGAAATAAACACTCCAGGGGCTTGAGAATTTTTATTCCCATTATTTCCTTCATTTGTACATTTTGAGTATATTTACTTTGGTCAACAATCAGTCTTAGGTTTTATTTTTATTTATTTTTTTGGCCATGCCCCGCAGCTCACAGGATCTTAGTTCCCCCACCAGGGATCAAACCTGTGTCCCCCACAGTGGAAGCATGGAGTCCTAACCACTAGACAGCCAGGGAATTCCCCATTCTTAGGTTTTAAACATGAAGCCAAAGTTGTTATGTTTATGGTGTTAAATTTGGGATAAGTTCAAAGACAATACCTTCAGGAGAAAGAAAACACTCAATGTATTTCAACTTCAGTTAACAGAGCACAGAAAAATAATAGTCAAAAATTCTCACTAATTTTTCACTCTTTATTTATGGGGAAAGCATAAACTAGTGACTTGTTACTAAAATAGATGTCTTTAAGCATATATACAAAAAAAGTTTTATTAGTACATTATTTTAATGTTCATAGCAGTGATATATAATACTGCCTATAGGGACTTCCCTGGTGGCGCAGTGGTTAAGAATCTGCCTGCTACAAGAATATACAATGGAGAAAAGACAGCCTCTTCAATAAGTGGTGCTGGGAAAACTGGACAGCTACAGGTAAAAGAATGAAATTAGAACACTCCCTAACACCACACACAAAAATAAACTCCAAATGGATTAAAGACCTAAATGTAAGGCCAGCTTTTGACCCACCTCCTAGAGAAATGGAAATACAAACAAAAATAAACAAATGGGACCTAATGAAACTTCAAAGCTTTTGCACAGCAAAGGAAACCATAAACAAGAAAAAAAGACAACCCGCAGAATGGGAGAAAATATTTGCAAACGAAGCAACTGACAAAGGATTAATCTCCAAAATATACAAGTAGCTCATGCAGCTCAATATCAGAAAAACAAACAGCCCAATCCAAAAATGGGCAGAAGACCTAAATAGACCTTTCTCCAAAGAAGATATCCAGATTGCCAACAAACACATGAAAGGATGCTCAGCATCACTAATCATTAGAGAAATGCAAATCAAAACTACAATGAGGTATCCCCTCACACCAGTCAGAATGGCCATAATCAAAAAATCTACAAACAATAAATGCTGGAGAGGGTGTGGAGCAAAGGGAACCCTCTTGCACTGTTGGTGGGAATGTAAATTGATACAGCCACTATGGAGAACAGTATGAAGGTTCCTCAAAAAACTAAAAATAGAACTACCATACGACCCAGCAATCCCACTACTGGGCATATACTCTGAGAAAACCATAATTCAAAAAGAGTCATGTGGGGCTTCCCTGGTGGTGCAGTGGTTGAGAGTCCGCCTTCCGATGCGGGGGACATGGGTTTGTGCCCCGGTCTGGGAAGATCCCACATGCTGTGGAGCGGCTGGGCCCGTGAGCCATGGCCACTGGGCCTGTGCATCTGGAGCCTGTGCTCCACAACAGGAGAGATCACAACAGTGAGAAGCCCACATACTGCAAAAAAAAAAAAAAGAGTCATGTACCACAATGTTCATTGTAGCTCTATTTACAACAGCCAGGACCTGGAAATAACCTAATGTCCATCAAAAGATGAATGGATAAAGAAGATGTGGCATATATACAATGGAATATTACTCAGCCATGAAAAGAAATGAAATTGAGTTATTTGTAGCGAAGTGGATGGACCTAGAGACTGTCATACAGAGTGAAGTAAGTCAGAAAGAGAAAAACAAATACTGTATGCTAACACATATATATGGAATCTAAAAAAAAAAAAAAAAAGAAAATGGCTCTGAAGAACCTAGGGGCAGGACAGGAATAAAGACGCAGATATAGAGAATGGACTTGAGGACATGGGGAGCAGGAAGGGTAAGCTGGGACAAAGTGAGAGAGTGGCATGGACATACATACACTACCAAATGTAAAATAGATAGCTAGTGGGAAGCAGCCGCATAGCACAGGGAGATCAGCTTGGTGCTTTGTGACCACCTAGAGGGGTGGGATAGGGTGGGTGAGAGGGAGATGCAAGAGAGAGGAGATGTATGTATATGTACAGCTGATTCACTTTGTTATACAGCAGGGATTAACACACCATTATAAAGCAATTATACTCTAATAAAGATGTTTAAAAAAAAAAAAGAATCCACCTCCCAATGCAGTGGACATGGGTTTGATCCCTGGTCCGGGAAGATCCCACATGCTGTGGAGCAACTAAGTCCATGTGCCACAACCACTGAGCCTGCGTGCTGCAACTACTGAAGCCCGTGCGCCTAGAGCCCATGCTCCACAACAAGAGAAGCCACCACAATAAGCCCACGCACCACAACGAAGACCCAACACAGCCAAAAATAAATAAATAATTAATTAATTTAAAAAAAATACTGCCTATACTGTATGCTCTAAAATTGTGTTTTGTTGTTGTCAATAAAAATATTTTTAATGCTTTAGAAAAAGTGATCGAGGAAAATAGGATATCAGTTAGAGTACTTCCATTTCCATCCTTCCTGCCCTACCACTGAGTCCATCTCAATCACTCTTCCCCTCTCCTGGACTAGGGTTTATGTATGCTATTTTATCTCTAATAATTACATTTTACTCCTTGGAAAAGGTAGAGAATTTTAATAACATCTTTTGACACATTTTGTTGTTGCTAAAAAGTCAGAAATTCAGTATTTTCTAAGCAAAGATATATCAAAATCATTCAAAACATAGCTAAATAAAACAATGGTTTGAAACTTTAATTTTGTTTTCTCAAGCTTCAAGTCTGTGGAAAACCAAAGGTAAAGAACAATAAGGGAACTTCACAGCTTAAAAGCCTATTTCTCATTGTTCCTGGGAAACTGAAGAACATTAGTCAACTAACCTGAAACTTTAAAAGAGGGAGGGAGCAAATTTTTGTTAGGTGGTGACTTAATGGGTTCAACATGACAAGATGCAGGTGAAGAGAAGCGGTGGCTGAGTCATGTGTAGGAAACAACTGAGCTTCAACGGCAGCTGAATTCAGCATCTTGTGGTAATTGAGAACAACTTAAGTTGGTTTCTCTGTGTCACAATAAAGGCTGGGAGGATGGTTTCAGCATCATCTCAGAGAATCTTCAGGAAACTCTGGAGTTAGGCTCATTTGGTTGGATTTTGTTCAATATGTTCAATGGCTCCTGCCTTTGTGTCAGCAAGGGCTCCATCACCCATGAAATGTTAGAGCTGTAAAATTCAAAAGGTACTTTAGATAGACTGAAATATAAGTCTTCCTCCCTCCTCTGTTCTCCAGCCTTCTCATTCCCTTGCCAGAGGCAAGCATTGTTTCCATTCCATTCCATTGTGTATTTGCCCCTAAGATATTCTAAAATGTAGGTTTTAAAAAGCCACACTTTCTATTTTTGCTGCCACTACCTCCTTGTCACTTACAATCAATGTAATAATTTTGTCTTATGATTTTATAGTAAACCTCTGTTGGCTCTTAATGATCAATTACTATTTCTAAAAGTGATCCTAAACAATGTGTGTGTGTCCTTGAATTTCTGCTGGGACAGATTTCTGTGGTTTCTGGTTACATATTGAAATTTCTTTGGGGGCCAGACAGGAAATCAAAATATGTAAAATGGCTGGGAGAAGACAGCAGGAAGTGGAGGGCAGGGTACAAACTGAAGTGCCCAGTCTAAAGGTATTTCAAATACCAAGACTGTTATATAAATAGTACTACTAAACTATCTAGTTTTGTGGTCCTTTATTGTACAATTTACTGTTCTTAAAAATCATAAACATACTTACCCACCACCAGTCTTCTAGCACTTAGTCCATTTTTCCTAATTCATAATTACAAAAAGCAATTTAATAATTTTAGGATCCTGATAGATAATTTGGTTGGGTCCCAAGGGATTTAAATATGGTATGGAAATGTCTTACTTTCATTAGGCAGAATCACAGGACGCAGGCTCTGAAGTCAGAGAGACCTGAGTTTGAACTTTGGCTTGGACGTTGGCCAGATGGGGCAAATTCCTTAAGCCTTTGGGCACTTACCTTCTTTATCTACAAAAGGGGTTAACAATCCCTTGGCTTTGAAGATTGTATTAGATAACGTAGGTTAAGGGCTTAGCACAGTGCCTGGCACCTACTTGGTGATCAGTAAGTGATTGCAGTTATCATTACAGTACTTTGAAGACCTTGGTACAAGCTTATGCTGCTTTAGACTTGAATTCCCTCTTTTTTTTTTAAAGGTTTTTTAAAATTAATTAATTAATTAATTAACTTTTTGGCTGCGTTGGCCCTTTGTTGCTGTGCGCTGGCTTTTCTCTAGTTGTGGCGAGCTGGAGCTGCTCTTCGTTGTGGTGCTCGGGCTTCTCATTGCGGTGGCTTCTCTTGTTGCCGAGCATAGGCTCTAGGCACGCGGGCTTCAGTAGTTGCAGCACACAGGCTCAGTAGTTGTGGCTCGTGGTCTCTAGAGGGCAGCCTCAGTAGTTTTGGCGCACAGGCTTAGTTGCTCTGTGGCATGTGGGATCTTCCCAGACCAGGGCTTGAACCCGTGTCCCCTGCATTGGCAGGCAGATTCTTAACCACTGCACCACCAGGGAAATCCCTTAAATTCCCTCTTAACCAATTGTTTCCTACTTGTTTTAATCCAGAGGTCATTTCTGACAAAAGGCAGAAACAAGACAGGAATTGATTCATTCGATAATAAATATTTATTGAATATCTTTTACATGACAGGTACGATTCCGGACAGAGTATTGAAGACAGAACTCCTCATACAACTTACCTTAGAGTGAGGGAGACAGACAACAAACAAATTAACAATATATAATACGGTTTCAGGTATTGATAGGTGCTAGGATATAAAGTAAAATAGAGTTAAGAGCCTAGGGTGTGAAGGTGGTGGGGGCAGAAAGGGACTAAAATATTGGTGAATCATAGTTGATGGGCTCCTTGTTGACACAGAGGCAGGA